CCCACCCCCTCGTGTAGCCACAGCGCCGGCAGCCTTCATAGGTGCTGCTCGCTAACAGCACTTGCCCCTACAGTCTGTTACAGGCTACACGGGGGACCTTTGCCTTTGCGTGAGCGGTAGTGTGTCTCTGTCGACTTGGGGAGACAAAGGCGGCCGGCCACAACCAACATCACGTGGTCTGAAGGGGCTTTGTCTGTCTGACAGCCCTTGCCCCCAGCTGCTGCTGCTGCTGCTGCTACGTGGGTCGTGGGCTACCTGGGGGAGCTTTGGCTGCGTTGTGGTTGCGTCTCCTGAGAAGAAGGAGGTGGAGGAGGAGGGGGGAGGGGCCGAGGGGGGAGGGGGGAGGGGGGAGGGGCCGAGGGGGGAGGGGGGAGGGGTTTGGGTCCTGCGTGTGAACTCCTCGTTTGTTGCCATGGTGACGGAGCAATCGCTTTGGTCGTGGTGATTATGGTGGTGATTATGGGGGTGGTGGTGGGGGTGGTGATGGTGGTGGTGGTGATGGTGATTATGGGGTGGTGGTGGTGGTGATGGTGGTGGTGATGGTGGTGATGGTGGTGGTAATGGTGGTGATGATGGTGGTGATGGTGGTGGTGATGCTTGTGACGATGATGATGATGGTGATGATGATGGTGATGATGGTGGTAGAGATGGTGATGATGGTGATGATGGGGGTGATGATGATGGTGGTGATAATGATGGTGATGCTTGTGACGATGATGGTGGTGATGATGGTGATGGTGGTGATGGTGGTGATGGTGGTGGTGATGGTGATTATGGGGTGGTGGTGGTGATGGTGGTGGTGATGGGGGTGATGGGGGTGATGGGGGTAATGGTGGTGGTGGTGGTGATGGTGGTGGTGATGGTGGTGATGGTGGTGATGGTGGTGGTGGTGATGATGATGATGGTGGTGATGGTGGTGATGGTGGTGATGGTGGTGGTGATGGTGATTATGGGGTGATTATGGGGTGGTGGTGATGATGATGGTGGTGATGGTGGTGATGGTGGTGATGGTGGTGATGATGGTGGTGATGGGGGTGATGATGGTGGTGATTATGGTGATGGTGATGGTGGTAGTGGAGGTGGTGGTGGTGGTGATGGTGGTGGTGATGGTGGTGATGATGGTTGTGGTGATGATGGTGGCGATGGTGGTGATGATGATGATGGTGGTGATGATGGTGATGGTGGTGATGGGGGTGATGATGATGGTGGTGATGGTGGTGATGATGGTGGTGATGGTGGTGATGGTGGTGGTGATGGTGGTGATGATGATGATGGTGATAATGGTGGTGATGATGATGGTGATGGTGGTGGTGATGGTGGTGATGGTGGTGGTAATGGTGGTGATGATGGTGGTGATGGTGGTGGTGATGCTTGTGACGATGATGATGATGGTGATGATGATGGTGATGATGGTGGTAGAGATGGTGATGATGGTGATGATGGGGGTGATGATGATGGTGGTGATAATGATGGTGATGCTTGTGACGATGATGGTGGTGATGATGATGGTGATGATGATGATGGTGATGATGATGATAGTAATAATGGTGGTGATGATGATGGTGATGCTTGTGACGATGATGATGGTGATGATGATGATGGTGATGTTTGTGACGATGGTGGTGATGGTGATGATGATGATGGTGATGATGGTGATAATGATGGTGATGATGATGATGGTGATGATGGTGATAATGATGGTGATGATGATGGTGATGATGATGGTGATGATGGTGATGATGATGGTGATGATGGTGATGATGGTGATAATGATGGTGATGATGATGGTGATGCTTGTGATGATGAAGATGATGGTGATGGTGATGATGATGGTGATGCTTGTGATGATGAAGATGATGGTGATAATGATGGTGATGCTTGTGACGATGATGATGGTGATGATGATGATGGTGATGATGATGATGATGATGGTGATAATGGTGGTGATGATGATGGTGATGTTTGTGATGATGATGATGGTGAAGATGATGGTGATGATGGTGATGATGATGGTGATGATGATGGTGATGATGGTGATAATGATGGTGATGCTTGTGATGATGATAATGATGGTGGTGATGATGATGATGGTGGTGATGCTAGTCGTGATTGTGCGTTCCAGTTACAAGGGCATAATCGGTGACACTGCCAATCAACCACTACACACACAGACACAGACAAAGATCCCCCGTGTAGCCTGTAACAGGCTGTAGGGGCAAGTGCTGTAGACACACACACAGACACAGACAAAGATCCCCCGTGTAGCCTGTAACAGACTGTAGGGGCAAGTGCTGTTAGCTGCGAGTTCCATTCCCGCTCACGGCCATCAGCACCCCCAGTGACGATTATCTGAACCGGCGCAGGGCCTCCGCTAGGTCGACTCAGCCTCAAAACGAGTAACCTGGTGTGGCGGTGGGTAGTAAACATCGCAGCACTAGGGGAGAGACAAAGGCGGCCGGGCGTGGTGGTGCTGCTACTGCTGCTACTCACAGCACTTGCCCCCACAGTCCGTACAGGCTACACGGGGGATCTTTGTCTGTGTGTGGCAGGCGATGCTGCTGCTGCTGCTTGGACGTCACCTATTAGTCTCCCCGTGTCTCTCTCACCGTGTCTCCACGTGTCTCTCTCCCCGTGTCTCTCTCACCGTGTCTCCACGTGTCTCTCTCCCCGTGTCTCTCTCACCGTGTCTCCACGTGTCTCTCTCCCCGTGTCTCTCTCACCGTGTCTCCACGTGTCTCTCTCCCCGTGTCTCTCTCACCGTGTCTCCACGTGTCTCCCTCCCCGTGTCTCTCTCACCGTGTCTCCACGTGTCTCTCTCCCCGTGTCTCTCTCACCGTGTCTCCACGTGTCTCCCTCCCCGTGTCTCTCTCACCGTGTCTCCACGTGTCTCTCTCCCCGTGTCTCTCTCACCGTGTCTCCACGTGTCTCTCTCCCCGTGTCTCTCTCACCGTGTCTCCACGTGTCTCTCTCCCCGTGTCTCTCTCACCGTGTCTCCACATGTCTCTCTCCCCGTGTCTCTCTCACCGTGTCTCCACGTGTCTCTCTCCCCGTGTCTCTCTCACCGTGTCTCCACGTGTCTCTCTCCCCGTGTCTCTCTCCCCGTGTCTCTACGTGTCTCTCTCCCCGTGTCTCTCTCACCGTGTCTCCACGTGTCTCTCTCCCCGTGTCTCTCTCACCGTGTCTCCCCGTGTCTCTCTCCCCGTGTCTCTCTCACCGTGTCTCCCCGTGTCTCTCTCCCCGTGTCTCTCTCACCGTGTCTCCCCGTGTCTCTCTCCCCGTGTCTCTCTCACCGTGTCTCCACGTGTCTCTCTCCCCGTGTCTCTCTCCCCGTGTCTCTACGTGTCTCTCTCCCCGTGTCTCCACGTGTCTCCCCGTGTCTCTCTCACCGTGTCTCCCCCGTGTCTCCCCGTATCTCTCCGTGTCTCTCCGTGTCTCTCCCCCGTGTCTCTACGTGTCTCTCTCACCGTATCTCCCCGTGTCTCTCTCCCCGTGTCTCCACGTATCTCCCCGTGTCTCCCCGTGTCTCTCTCACCGTGTCTCCACGTGTCTCTCTCACCGTATCTCCCCGTGTCTCTCTCCCCGTGTCTCCACGTATCTCCCCGTGTCTCCACGTGTCTCCCCGTGTCTCTCTCACCGTGTCTCCACGTGTCTCTCTCCCCGTGTCTCCCCGTATCTCCCCGTGTCTCCACGTGTCTCCCCGTGTCTCTCTCACCGTGTCTCCACGTGTCTCTCTCCCCGTGTCTCCACGTATCTCCCCGTGTCTCACCGTGTCTCCACGTGTCTCTCTCCCCGTGTCTCCCCGTGTCTCCCCGTGTCTCCACGTGTCTCTACGTGTCTCTCTCCCCGTGTCTCCCCGTGTCTCTCTCACCGTGTCTCCCCGTGTCTCTCTCCCCGTGTCTCCACGTATCTCCCCGTGTCTCCACGTGTCTCTACGTGTCTCTCTCACCGTATCTCCCCGTGTCTCTCTCCCCGTGTCTCCCCGTGTCTCCCCGTGTCTCTCTCACCGTGTATCCACGTGTCTCTCTCACCGTGTCTCCACGTGTATCTCTCCCCGTGTCTCCACGTATCTCCCCGTGTCTCCACGTGTCTCCCCGTGTCTCTCTCACCGTGTCTCCCCCGTGTCTCCACGTGTCTCTCACACCGTGTCTCCACGTGTCTCTCTCACCGTGTCTCCCCCGTGTCTCCACGTGTCTCCGCGTGTCTCTCTCACCGTGTCTCCCCGTGTCTCTCTCCCCGTGTCTCCCCGTGTCTCTCCGTGTCTCCCCGTGTCCCCGCGTGTCTCCCCCATGTCTCTCCGTGTCTCTCTCCCCGTGTCTCCCCATGTCTCCACGTGTCTCCCCCGTGTCCCCCCGTGTCTCCCCGTGTCTCCCCCTGTCTCCCCGTGTCTCCCCGTGTCTCCCTTTGTCTCCCCCTGTCTCCCGGTGTCTCCCCGTGTCTCCCCTTATCTCCCCGCGTCTCCCCCTGTCTCCCCGTGTCTCCCCGTGCCTCCCCTTATCTCACCGTGTCTCCCCGTGTCTCCCCGTGTCTCTCCGTGTCTCCCCGTGTCTCTCCGTGTCTCCCCGTGTCCCCCCGTGTTTCCCCTTATCTCTCCGTGTCTCCCCGTGTCTCCCCCCGTGTCCCCCCCGTGTCTCCCCGTGTGTCCCCGTGTCCCCCCGTGTCTCCCCGTGTCTCTCCCACGTGCTAGGAACACTTCACTGCCGAGTGCAAGTTCAAGGAGTCAGTCTTTGAGAACTACTACGTCATCCACTCATCTCTCTGTGTCTCTCTCCCCGTGTCTCCCCGTGTCTCCCCGTGTCTCTCCCACGTGCTAGGAACACTTCACTGCCGAGTGCAAGTTCAAGGAGTCTGTGTTTGAGAACTACTACGTCATCCACTCATCTCTCTGTGTCTCTCTCCCCGTGTCTCCCCGTGTCCCCCCGTGTCTCCCCGTGTCTCTCCTTGTCCCCCCGTGCCCCCCCCCGTGTCTCCCCGTGTCTCCACGTGTCTCCCCCTCGTGCCAGGAGCACTTCACTGCCGAGTGCAAGTTCAAGGAGTCTGTGTTTGAGAACTACTACGTCATCTACTCGTCGACGCTGTACCGGCAGCACGAGTCGGGCCGCGCCTGGTACCTGGGCCTCAACAAGGAGGGCAACACCCTCAAGGGCAACCGCGTCAAGAAGACGAAACCCGGGGCTCACTTCCTGCCCAACCCCCTCGAAGGTGGGGGCCACGGGGGGGGGGAGGAGGGGGGGGTGGTTGAGGTGGTTGAGGTGGTAAGAGGTGGTGGTGATGGGGGTGGTTGAGGTGGTAAGAGGTGGTGGTGATGGGGGTGGGGGTGGTGGTTTAGGTGGTGGGGGTGGTGGAGGTGGTGGTGGTGGGGGTGGTGGGGGATGGTGGGGGTGGTGGGGGGTGGTTGAGGTGGTGGGGGTGGTGGAGGTGGTGGTGGTGGGGGTGGTGGGGGATGGTGGGGGTGGGGGTGGTGGTGGTGGGGGTGGTGGGGGTGGTGATGGTGGTGGGGGTGGTGGTTTAGGTGGTGGGGGTGGTGGAGGTGGTGGTGGTGGGGGTGGTGGTGGTGGTGAATGGTACTGGTGGTGGTGGTGGTGGGGGTGGTGGTGGAGGTGGGGGTGGTGGTGGTGGTGAATGGTACTGGTGGTGGTGGGGGTGGTGGTGGAGGTGGGGGTGGTTGAGGTGGTGGTGGTTTCCCGGCACACTGAGGAGTGAGATGCCCCTGTAGTTGTTACAGTCTGTGCAGTCCCCCTTCTTAAAGAGGGGGACCACCAGGGCATCCTTCCAATCCTGCAGAACCCGTCCAGTGGTCCAGACTGTTGTTATGATGCCATCTAGGGGACAAACGCCACCCTCCCTCAGCATTTCACCGGGAAAGGTCCTGGCAAGGATTATTCAACATCGCCTTGCTAGGCACGCTGAGGAGAGGCTTGCGGAGGCCCAATTCGGTTTCAGGAAATGGCGGTCCTGCACAGATGCCATATTTTCTGTCCGACTGCTATAGCAGAGGTGTAGGGAATTCCCACAAGACCTACATCTCTGCTTTATTGACCTGGTCAAGGCCGATGATACCATCAGTAGGCCTGGGCTCTGGGTTATTCTTCGTGCTTTTGGAGTCCCTGACCCTCTGCTCACGATCATTACGGACCTTCATGATGGTGAGCGGGCCCGGGTAAAACTACGTGGCGGGAGTCGGAGCCATTTCCTGTACACCTTGGGGTGCGACAGGGATGTCCTCTGGCTCCAACGTTATTTAACATCTATTTCGACCACGTAGTTCGTGAAGACCTCAATAGCTGTACCTGAGGAATTTCCATTTGGTATAGATACAATGGGAGGCTGATCGATGCCCGGGTGTGATCAAGGGATGCTCCCTATTGCTCAACCACGTTATGTATGCCAATGATCTGGTAATTGCTGCTCACTCAGAGGAGGAGTTGGAGTCTCTGCTGTTGAGACTGGAGCGTGCCACTAAGAGGTGGGGCCTTACCAACAGCCCCACCAAAACTAAGCACCTGCCTGAGTATTTTGTACCATCGGACACTCCACCCCCACAACTCCCAATTGGTGATAGGTCAGTTATGGAGAGAGTGGAGAGTTTCCCATACCTGGGCAGTGTGCTCATGACTGGCTCCGGTTTAACAGCAGAGGTCTCACTCCGAATCGGTCGAGCGGCAATATCTTTCCATCAGTTGCGTAATGCTGTGTGGAAGCTACCTGGTCTGTCGCTCCGCACGAAGCTTCAGGTCTTCTCGGCCACGGTTATTTCCTCCCTTCTCTACGCTTGTGAAACGTGGACCCCCCTAGTGGAGCATCTTCGCCGGTTAGAAACATTTAGGCTGACCTGCCTACGATCCATCCTGGGTTTAACCAGGCGGGATTGTGTGAGGAGCTCTCAAATCCTTGAAAAATCTGGGCAAAGTCCCATTGGTGAGCTCCGGCAGGCAAGGCTGCGTTGGCTGGGTCATGTAGCCCGCATGCCCAGCCACCGCATGCCTAAACAGCTTTTGTTCGGCCGGATCGAGGGGGCTAAACGGGCGCGGCACGGGCTAGAGAAGAGATGGAGTGATGTGGTACAGGAGGACGTGGAGCTGAGTGGACTTGCCGATGACTGGTACCAGCGGTGTCAAGATCGGCCTCAGTGGAGGAGGCTCGTGAAGGACGCTGCTACTGGGCAGTTGGAGGCAGTCGCCCTCCAACAACAACGGAGGGCGGAGGAGTGACGCTCACAACAACGAGCGGAGCACCGGGTGGCTAAAGCACGGCGAGTTGTCACAGTAGGGGGCACAGGTGGTGCATCAGCCAGTCATCTCGGTCATCTCAGTCAGTCGACCCGTGGCACCTGCTGGGTCTGCCCCGTGACCTCCTGCCAGCGGGCGTTCGACACTTCACGTGATGGCCTCTTCACTTGATACAGCTATCGTGTTGTGACGGTTCCACCTGAAGACAGAAGCTTGTGTTGCCTCCGAAACGTCGTGATTTAAATTTTATTTTACTTTTGTTAATTTTTAATGTTTTACCTACGTGACTTTACCGAAAAAAAACTTAAGAATATGAATCCTTGCAGTCACGAAAGCTTCAAATCTAGAATATCAAATATTGCATTTTCAATAAAAACTGCGGAAGAAAAATATTAAATAAATGTGGATATCTACATGAAATGATATTATAAACACACTATCCTAAAAATACAGCACCATATTTTAACACTAAAGCAGTCACTGACTCGCAACAACTTGCAATCATAAGTGACAGAGTTAATTTCGGGTAAAATCAATGAAAACGGGGTATGCCGATAGCATAAAAATGAGATGTGATAGAGCAAATCTGAGATCAGATTTGGAATCGGCACCCTGAAATTAGTCTAGAACAGCTGCAAAAGTCCAGGCCAGAAAAAAACGTTTTTTTTTTGTTGACCAGTGAATTCATCTTCATGGTTCTTTCGGTAAAGTCACGTAGAATGGAAATAAATAATCTAGAATTGTGTTAATTATGTTGATACATTTTTTTCCACATGAGGATGACCGCCCGTGTTGCGATGAAAACGTCGTGATATATTTTTATTTTATTTTATTTTTCTACCCACGTGACTTTACCGAAAGTACCAAAGAGTATGGGTTCATGCAGTCACGAAAGCTTCAAATCGAGATTTCACTCCGCTAGTTCACGTCTGGCACATCTGTCCGTGTCGATCTCAAGACGCGTGGTGTCCGCCCTTCACAGGTGCTGCTGCTCGCTGGCTGCACTTGACCCGCTCGCCTGCGTGCGCTCTACGGGGGAACTTTGTCTTTGTCTTGGTGGTGGTTGTGGTGGTCGTGGTGGTGGTTGTGGTGGTCGTGGTGGTTTAGATGAAGCCGGGACGGTCGGCAGATGATGCCAACCCATAACCTGAACATATCCGTGTCTCTCCCTGCGTCTCCTCGTGTCTTCCCGTGTCTCCACCTTCTCTCCCCGTGTCTCCCCACGTCTCCACCTTGTCATCTCCCCGTGTCGCTCCCCGTGTCTCTCCCCGTGTCTCTCCCCGTGTCTCTCCCCGTGTCTCCCCGTGTCTCTCCCCGTGTCTCCCCGTGTCTTCCCGTGTCTCCACCTTCTCTCCCCGTGTCTCCCCACGTCTCCACCTTGTCATCTCCCCGTGTCGCTCCCCGTGTCTCTCCCCGTGTCTCCCCCCCGTGTCTCCCCCCTCCCGTGTCTCTCCCCGTGTCTCCCCGTGTCTTCCCGTGTCTCCACCTTCTCTCCTCGTGTCTCTCCCCGTGTCTCCCCCCCGTGTCTCCCCCCTCCCGTGTCTCTCCCCGTGTCTCCCCGTGCCTTCCCGTGTCTCTACCTTCTCTCCTCGTGTCTCTCCCCGTGTCTCCCCCCCGTGTCTCCCCCCTCCCGTGTCTCCCCGTGTCTCCCGCCCGTGTCTCCCCACGTGTCCCCCCCCCCCCCCCCCCTACAGTGGCGATGTACAAGGAGCCGTCTCTGCACGACCTCGCCGAGGTTCTCATCCAAGGGGCCGAAGCCTCCAGCGCCCCCTCCCCGTCACCCTCCACCGTCATGAACGGCGGCAAGGCCATGACCAAGACAGACTCCACGTAGGCCTGCCGGCCTACTGGCCTGCCGGCCTGCTGGCCTGCTGGCCTGCCGGTCCGCTGGTCCGCTGGTCCGCTGGTCCGCTGGCCTGCCGGTCCGCTGGTCCGCTGGCCTGCCGGTCCGCTGGTCCGCTGGTCCGCTGGTCCGCTGGTCCGCTGGCCTGCCGGTCCGCTGGTCCGCTGGCCTGCTGGTCCACTGGTCCGCTGGTCCGCTGGTCCGCTGGTCCGCTGGTCTGCTGGTCTGCTGGTCCGCTGGTCCGCTGGCCTGCCGGTCCGCCGGTCCGCTGGTCCGCTGGTCCGCTGGTCCGCTGGTCCGCTGGTCCGCTGGCCTGCCGGTCCGCTGGTCCGCTGGCCTGCTGGTCCACTGGTCCGCTGGTCCGCTGGTCCGCTGGTCCGCTGGTCTGCTGGTCTGCTGGTCCGCTGGTCCGCTGGCCTGCCGGTCCGCCGGTCCGCTGGTCCGCTGGTCCGCTGGTCTGCTGGTCCGCTGGTCTGCTGGTCCGCTGGCCTGCCGGCCTGCTGGTCCGCTGGTCCGCTGGTCTGCTGGTCCGCTGGCCTGCCGGCCTGCCGGTCCGCTGGTCCGCTGGTCTGCTGGTCCGCTGGTCCGCTGGTCCGCTGGTCCGCTGGTCCGCTGGTCCGCTGGTCTGCTGGTCCGCTGGTCCGCTGGTCCGCTGGCCTGCCGGCCTGCTGGTCCGCTGGTCCGCTGGTCTGCTGGTCCGCTGGCCTGCCGGCCTGCCGGTCCGCTGGTCCGCTGGTCTGCTGGTCCGCCGGTCTGCTGGTCCGCCGGTCCGCTGGTCCGCTGGTCCGCTGGTCCGCTGGTCCGCTGGTCCGCTGGTCCGCTGGTCCGCTGGTCCGCTGGTCCGCTGGTCCGCTGGTCCGCTGGTCCGCTGGTCGCTTGTTGGCCCAGGTCTCACGGAGGGCCGAATGTCCTCCATCTCACGGTCATCATCGTCGCACCATCGTCATCATCTGCCGCTCTCCCTCCCTCATCATCATCGTCATCATCATCATCTAACGCTTTCTCCATCATCATCATCATCATCATGATCTAACGCTTTCTCCATCATCATCATCATGATCTAACGCTTTCTCCATCATCATCATCATCTAACGCTTTCTCCATCTCCATCATCATCATCATGATCTAACGCTTTCTCCATCATCATCATCATCTAACGCTTTCTCCAACATCATCATCTCACCACCACCACCAAACGCACGTGGAGGCCACCCCCTCCTCCTCCTCCTCCGCTCTGCGCTGAGGGGGAGGGGGGGCGACAAAACTGTAGCCGCGACTTTCCCCCCCGAGGGAGGGGGCGAGACACCCACCCCCCACTCCCCCCCCCTCCCCTCCCCCCTCCCCCCTCCCCCCCCCTCCCCCTCCTCCTCCTCCTCCTCCCCCTCCCCCTCCCCCTCCTCCCCCTCCTCCATTCGACTTTTTCTTCTTCATCCTCATCACTGGCCGCCGACACCACCACGTCGACGGCTTGGACGAGATGAAGGAGGATGGACGAGATGGACGAGATGGACGAGGATGGAGGAGAATGGACGAGGAGGATGGAGGAGGAGGTGGAGGAGGAGGAGGTGGAGGAGGAGGAGGAGGGACCGACGACGATGAGTGGAGGTCGCCCAGGAGCTCGTTGAGGCTTGCCGGTCGATGGCAACCAGCCGGGCGTTGTGCAGCCGCAATGCTTGCTGTAGGTGGCGGAAGGTGGAGCAGCGGTCCACCCACCCTCGCCTCCACCCACCCCTCAAACTCACCCACCCACACACACACCCCTCATCCACCCCTCCACCCACCCACCCACCCCTCCACCCACCCACCCACTCAACAACCCCTCCACCCACCCACCCACCCACTCAACCACCCCTCCACCCACCCACCCACTCAACCACCCCTCCACCCACCCACCCACCCACTCAACAACCCCTCCACCCACCCCTCAAACTCACCCCTCCACCCACCCCTCCACCCACCCACTCAACCACCCGTCCACCCCTCCACCCACCCACCAAAACACCCATCGGCTCCGTCAAGCAGCAGAGGGGGTGGGGAGGTTTTGTTTGACCCCGGGGGTGAGGCTGACCGTCACCCTCGCCGGAGCCACTGATGCAGATTTGCTCCATGACCGTGCGTGCGTGGGCATGCGGGCGTGAGTGTATGTGAGTGTACGTGCGTGGGCGTGCGTGGGCGAGCGTGCGTGAGTGTACGTGCGTGGGCGAGCGAGCGCGCCCGGTCACGTTCCGTCAGAATCGACCACCCCACTGCCACCACCACCCCACTGCCACCACCACCACCACCGCCGCCGCCTTCGAACAAAAGAACGAGCGCATATCCCGGCACCGACTTTGATGTTTGGCGCGGTGGGGGGTGGTGGGGGAGGAATGAACGGGGGCCAGGACCGGAACGCGACCAGCCCGGAGAGGAAACACCAGCCGGCCGGCAAGGGGCGTACGGACGTACGGACGTACGGACGGATGCACGAACAGACGGCGGAGGAGGTTAAGAACCACGCGGAGTCGTCACCGGCGCACCCCCACGGCGACCTCGTGTAACCAGCCGGCTGCAAAACCGGCCACTCAGGGGGCGGGGGGGCACGGCCTGGTGAACTCAGGGGAGGGGGGGCGGACTTCAACTCCGGCGGCGTTCACCGCAGACGCAGGAGAAGCGACCAACGGTGGCGGGGACGGCTGAAGTCGGCTCGAGGTTTTGGTGCAGCGGCTACGCGTTTGGTGAAGAGGTGGCTCGGATTTTGGAGGAGTTTTGGTGAAGCTTTGGTGAAGTGGCTCGGGTTTGGTGAAGGTTTCGGTGAAGTTTTGGTGGAGTTTTGGTGAAGTGGCTCAGGTTTGGTGAAGGTTTTGGTGAAGTTTTGGTGAAGTTTGGTGAAGTGGCTCGGGTTTGGTGAAGTTTTGGTGAAGTGTCTCGGGTTTGGTGAAGGTTTGGTGAGGTTTTGGTGAAGTTTTGGTGAAGTGTCTCGGGTTTGGTGAAGGTTTGGTGAGCTTCTGGTGACGTTTTGGTGAAGTATTGGTGAGGAAGCGTTTCGTGGCCGCAACTTCGTCGACTCTTCAGCTCGGTGACCCCACTAAGCAGCACCTCACCACGTCAGCCGTAAAGAAAGAAACGAAAAAAAACCGCCTCCGACCGGATTTCACCGACCTTCGGAGAAAAAACCCCAAAGCCGAACACACGTCCCGCCGGACGCCGGGAGCAAACGCCGTTTCAAACCGGCCGCCATAAAACCGGCCGCTTGGCACCGGCGCTGCAGAAACGGCGAAACTTTCTCCCGTCTCGGCCGTTCTGTCGGCCCCGATCCGGGATCGGGATCGGGTTTCCGCGGCCAATTGGAGCGCGCCGGGTGGTGGTTACGGTCGCGGCTAGAACCCACCGGCACCTCCCGTGCCACCACCGACACCCCCCCCCCTACCCACCATGCCCACACAGACCCACGAACGCTGCCCCCCACCGCCCCTCCGCCGCTCCTACCCGCACCTTGCCACAGCATCACGAACCAGGCTCCTCTCTTCACATTCCTTCCTCGCTCCATCTCTGCCTCGTCGTCCCGACGCTGCGTTCGTGTCGGCTGACGCGCCGACGCGCTCACGGACAGACGCGCGCACGCACTCACGCGCGCGCTCACGGACAGACACACGCACGTGCAAACTGACCATCTCCCTTGCGACCGGTCGCCCCGAGCCGGAGTTCCGGAGTTCCAACCGAGACTCTGCGCACACCTCGCCGTGCATGACGCTCCGGCTGGCTGGACAAACTCCCACACACACACGCACACACACACACATGCACACACACACACATGCGCACACACACACATGTACACACACACACACGCTCACACACACACACACGCACGCGCACACACGTGTACACACACACGCTCACACACACGCACACACGCTCACTCGTTCGTTCACCTGCGAGCGCCCAATGTTACGCAACCCCCCCCCGCCCCCCCCTGTCCCTCCCCCCCCTGTGAACCCTCCCCCACCCACGTCAATCCGTTTAAGGTACCCCCCCCCCCCCCAGTCTAGAATACGTGCGGTCAATATTTAAACTTTGTCCGGTATCCACACAAGACGCTGCCACCGCCTTCAGGTGACGTGGTGATCACTGCAAGGGGAGGAATCAGAGACTCCTCCCCAGAGCTTCGGCTACAAAAAAAGAACGCGACTCCATTCCCTCCGGGTCAGAGGTCGCAAACGGGTTTTGATTCCTTACCCCCCGTACCCGTACCCGTACCCTACCCGTACCCGGCCGGGTATCGGGTATGGGTATCGGCTACCCGATTGCGACCTCTGGGATGAAGCCATGTTGCAGGCGCGGGTGGGTTAATTCTAGGAACTTGAATTGTGAGAAGAGACAAGACGTTGGGAAATGAGTGACACACGGTGACTCACCAGTGACTCACGGTCTACCCGTACCCGTACCCGGCCGCACCAGGGTCGCAAACGGCTACCCGTACCCGGCCGGGTACGGGTAGCCGGGTATTGGGTAGGGTACGGGTATCGGGTACCCGGTTGCGACCTCTGTTCCGGATCGATCGCTCGCTCGCTCAGCGCTCGGTTTCATCGTCGTCGTCGTCGAGAAGGGAACGATTGTCCTTGCGATTCGCACTGTACATGTTGATGCCGCTAATGTATTCTGTATAATTACTCTTTGGTTCTTTCGGTAAAGTCACGTATAAGAAGAAAGTAATAAATACTAGCATACGACGTTTCGATTGCAACACAAGCAATCATCGTCAGGTATAAATGAAATAGAAACACTAATCTAGTAGTTCTTCCTGAGAATGCTAAATTTGAGAGAGAGATAAAAACACAGAACCAGAGACATATAGACACACATATAAGCAGAGACACATATCACAGAGATACATAGAGAGAGACGTACATAGGCACACAGAGAATAACTGTCAACACCCTACCTGGTTGATTACGTTCTTCCTGAGAATGCTACACTTGAGAGAGAGAGATAAAACACAGAACCAGAGACATATAGACAGACAAATAAGCAGAGACACATATCACATTCTGTATAATGTTGCCCCCCTGCCCGCCCGTCCTCCGCTGTCG